AAGTATTTTATAATAAATATTACCTTAGTATGATTCATCTATAAACTAAGTAAATATAATAAGATATAAATTTACAAATTCCAAAATTCCGGCGTGTGCATGTTTTTATATACAGAGCGTCCCAAAAGTATCCAAACAATACATTCAAGAAAGTCATTTGACATTTTTACTGATATTAGGATTGTGAAAATACTTATTTCTTTTCGATTTTTTGATTTCAGACTGCATGACGCTCTTGCAACGCTCTGCGATGATAGTGGTTAACATTTCATTTCTATTTTATTAATGACATATATTTATAAATAGAATCCAAAAACACCTATTGAATTAGTATTATTATTATGAGAAAAATATATATTATTGCTATTCTTATATACGTGTCGGTGTGTATGTAACGTATGTATTGGGGAAAAAGGATTTATTAAAAATATGCCCGTTGAACAGAAAGTTTTAAATCAACATTCTAGGCTAAGTTTTACCCGAATATCCGAACTTTTTTTTGAATAAACACGATTATACAAGGTGGTCAAATGCCGTGTAGCAGAACTCCAATAAGCCATAAAATTTTATTTTTAAAATAAGTTGGTTCTATCGAATGTTGATGCTCTGCTATAAAAAAAATAATCACCCTGTATTGTTAAAAACGTTTTGAGAATAATACTAATTTAATTCTATTAAAAAAATCCTTTTCAAAAATAAACACTAGTCATATCTTATACATTGATGGTTATAGTAAATCTGTATTACACGAAATACAAAAAAAAATATTCTTAAAAAAGTGTAGGTATTCGTACTATTTTTATATCAGAAATAAAAATTGGCACTTAATATACTACAGAATACTATTGAGTTGGAAGTTATTTTTAGTATTTTGTACGCCTTTTTTTGTGTTCATTAGATTCACTGTATTTTAATTATAAATATCTACATAATATATGAAACCAAATTCTGATTCTGATATTGATAGAAATGTTGTAAAAATTTAAAATAAACAATACCAAAATGGCTGCTCTGAATGGGAATAACAATTATACTAACTAAATTCAACTTTTTTATAGTTATCTTTTTCATGATAATTTTTATCTTTTTCAAAACATTCTAATATACCGGGTGTTTCTTTTATTTTTTTAGATAAGAAAACGAAATTTGGTATGTCAGTATCACTTTGTATATGACATAAATCGGGATTGGTTTTTACTTCCTGTTTCGTCGGAAATGACACAACTTTTGATTTTTAAATGGTATACCGGTATTTTTTTACTTTATATGATAGAAAATGACTGAATAGAATGACATATTATATGTGAAGTTTTGTTCTTAATTTATTTAAATGGAACGACGGTGGTTCATTAGCATATTTGGAAAAAACATTTTTTTACGAATAATTTGGTACCATATTATACTTGGTATTTCGAGTCAAATTGTCGTTACATTTATGGCCATGGCACTCTAGATTAAAATTGAAATTGCTATTTTATTTTAATTGAAAATGTCAAAAGTTGACATATGGTAATGGTATGTCTTTCAATTCGGAATGTCATGCACGTTCTATAAAATAAAGTAAAAAATACAAATAGTACCATTTAAAAATTAAAAGTTGTAGTGTGAAAGAGGAGACTAATTGAATACGTCAATCAATCGTAATCTATGTTATATACTAAGATACCAAATTTCATTTTTTATATGAAAAAATAAAAAAAAATAGGAGTGAGCCACTTTTGAGAAACACCCGGTATTCTCTATCAGAAGCGTCTTGAGACAGATTGATTGATATTTTTGAGTTGCATGCGGACCAATGAAAAAAACGTCTTATTTTATGTCGCCTAATTCCCAATTACATTGACAAATGACTAAAGAAAGGCCACAAACAATTGGTCAATTTGTTACGTAAGAAAAATTACGGGATAAACTACAAATTCTTATGTTTTATGTATTTTATTTCGAGTTAGACAGAACGACAAATAACAACATTACCTTTCAAACGAGTTAAAAATTGTCCTGCATTTTCTTGGCTAATGACATTAATGGCAGCTGCTTTATTAACAAACACACTCAAAAAAACATCTTAAAAACATCGTCTCTGTATTCTGTCTAATTCGAATATCATTATGGTCTTTAAATACACATTTAAAAAACTTTTTTCAACAACTTTGTTTCATCTATAATATTTTAAACCTTCTAAAACAGTGTTCAAAAATGTTCAAAATTTTATTCCTATAGCTTTAAATGACGTTTGATTTGTCAAAATGTTTGATTATGGACCTAGAATACTTTTTTTGATATATATTGATATTATTTTCAGTGCAGGAGCGGTAGCATTTAGATCCTTAACACAGTTTTTTCTTTAAAAAATAGGGTGTTAAACACGATACGCATATATCGGTGTTATATAACCATATTCCTATATTAGAGTAATACACGCTCTACACTATTCGAAGAAAAACGAAACAGGTCAAAGTCGCGTTTTGGTCTTTCCTCTTGTCTGGCTCAATTTCATTTCGTTTCGAACAGTTTCTAAGAAGTGTCGGTATCTATACCCGAGGCAAAGGATTTTTTTTAATAAATCTCAGTGAAATAAGTAAACCTAGACGTTTCTAAAATATCTGTTTTTACTATGATATTTCGTTCATTACATCTCGTTTTATGTTGATATATTATATTCCACAAGATTAATATTTGAACATGCGATAATACGTAGAGTAAATATTTAAGAACAAAACTTTTCACTTAATCTGCAGGAATATTAGTTTTTATTATAATGAATTTCTATATAAAATTGTATTTGTTATGTTTGCTTACGCGGCCTTAATTGGTTAATATAACAGTACTATTGCTGGATGAGTTAGTAATACTGGTAACATCATCAATATTTCGAGCTGATTGGGAAAATTATTGATTGATCCGATGTCAATAAATATATATGGTCCACGAAAATTTTTAAATTAACACATTACATATTATAAACGCGTGTTGAAATAATAATCTTGTTGAACGTTGAAATCTTGTAGAACGGTGAAACATTTCGGGCATAGTGTAGAGGGTGTTTAACATTTGACTATACATATATCTCGCACAAATAATATAAATAGACAAACCTTACCATACCGAACGAAGGTACCCAAAATATACAAACCAGATGTAAACAGAAAAATGCTAGGTTGCCATTTATTGGTTAAAAAAAGTTTATTAACGAATATTGTCTACGATTATTAAATTACTTTATTATACTGTAACTTTTTCGGGAAGCATTTTAGAGCATTGGTTCATAAGTACTTTTTGTTTCATTTTTATCTGTAGAATCACCACCGAATTTAGATACATTATTTTTGACACCCTGTAGTGTATATCTAGAATATTCTATGGTATCGCATGCCATTTATTCCTATTTATGCAATATTACGCTGTAAGCATTAATAGTTTTAATTTGGTTATGCTAGTTCATGCTTCCGATCTTAATCCTACCACTAATCCTAATTTTAAACTCATCTTGACTAATTATAAATGCTAATAATTATTTATTTTTTGGTCTAGAAATGCTTAATGCTTATCTAGAACTAATGAATGTTATCATTGTGCTCAAAACATAATGATGTTTCTTATGAGCATAAGCGCATACTAGAATACTCAGAGGATAAGTAAGAAAAGCATGAACGTCATTTTCTTAAGTTTAGGTTGATGTTAATGTTAAGTGTAAGGTTAGGACTAACTAGGGTTGCCAACTTTCAAAATAAAAAATTAAGGACGAGAGAAAGAAAGAAGCACAGACAAAACATTTTTTGAAACCTCGCCCAAATGTCTAAAATTTACCAAAAAGTTATGTAAACGGTATTTGATGGTCTTTCTTACTTAAAAATATTTATATTCAAAACTTGTTAAAATAAAACAAACCATTTTCAACAAAACTTTTTTTTTCCAAAACACAAGTAAACATAAAATAGATAAATATTATGTTTCTCGTTTCCACAAATATTTCTTGTACATAAATATTTCTTCATTTTATTTTCTGTGCGAATGAGTGGGAGTAGCGAAAGACACAGATTGACAATTTTTTAAGGCATTGTGGCGATAGACAAATAGTTTTTAGATTTTGAGTTTGATATGTAAAAAAAGGACTTTTTCAAAACGTGAGAGAAAAGAGGCCAGTGAGATCAAAAAGAGGACTGTCCTCTGGAATAGATGACGGTTGGCAACCCTAGGACTAACACAACAAGGAGTATAAACTAACCATTTTCCTGAAACTACTCCAATGATGTCGTCAAATCATGAAAAGATTATATTAAGTCGGTGATCAAATTAAATTGTAAATAGACAAACAGTTTGTTTACATTTTGCTTGTATATGCTGGGTAAAAACAAATCAATGTACCTATATATCTAATCTATCTATGATTCATCCTATTTTTAGAGAACTTTCCCAATTCTAGGCTTAGCTACCACTCATTAAAATTCCTTTGTTTTTTCAGTTTAACAAAATATCTACTCTGTTATCCTAATAATACTGCTGTATTCGAAAAATTAACATACTTTAACGGACATCTAAAAACTTTATACACTACATCTCATTTGTTAAAGCTTCACCTTGCTAGTGCTAACGTTCGATTCTCGGTTAGCACTTATATCTCTATGTTACATTCAGTTAATATTATAAATCTAAGACATGGACCCAAGTTGATTAAATGATTTTTCTTTTTTTTTCTGGCTTTTAAGTTAATTTTTAAACATTCAACATTTAAAATACAATAAAGGGAGGATTCTTATAAGTCTATTTGGAAAGGACAACGTCTTAAATGTTGGTTTAGATATACAAAAATGGGTTATTCCTTTTTTATGTTTAAGAAACCCTTTAATTTAGAAAATATAAAATGTTTTAAACATAAAACATTTTTGACATAAGCTGGAACACTCTTTGAAACATTTCCCGCTTTATTAATATGGTTAATAGTTATTCTTAAAATTGTTAGTAGGTAGTTACTTGAAATGTTAAACTCAAATATCCACGTAGTACAAAAAATCTGTTTTATTTCATAAATTCCATTTAGAAAACAAGTAAAAAATTTAACTAAACTAAACCTTAATATTAATATTTCTTTTCTTTTGATACCGCTGTCAAAATATGTTCTAATCTACCGTACTTAAATATGTAACACCCTGTAGATTGATACAAAATTTTTGAGTGTTAAGCGTGATATTTAAGCGTATAATTACCAATTTTCTTTTTTTTCTGAATTATCATATTGATGTCATCAAATGAACCATTCTTAAACAGTCTATCTTAGGGATGTAGGGATGTAGTAATATTGAATTTCTCAGAATATCGATATCACTAATAGTATCGTACATCCCTAATCTATCTTAAAATTAGTAACTTATTACAAATGCACGAGTATAAAACAATACTAAATAACGGACTATACATATAAATTTATGTTATAAACATAAAAATACGGTAAAATATAAGTAGCTTAGAGTAAATTAAAAAATAACTTTAATCACCTTAAATCATAATTTCATCAATCACATTTTTTACTTTCAATAATCACAGATATTAGAGACAGTCTAGCCTGTAGAAACTTTTCTGAACCATAAAATCGATCTTAAATCATCGATTCTAAAACTTTGCAATTTAGACTTTTCAGCTTTGAGATGTCGTTATTCCCACTTAGATTATCTCTAATATCCGGATATATCAGTGTCAAGCTTTCCAACTAATTTTAAATTAGTACAAAACTGGACTAAGATCAGGAACTTAGGATATGGTTCTAGGATCGCGACGGATCATCTTATAATACGTGGCTTAAAGAACGTGGAGGTTCTCGCAGGATTTGGATTTGCTGTCTCTCGCCCATACTTTGCCCAATAAACTGCGAACTTTCAAACTGGCTGACGTTCGACTTCCTGTAACAAATAAAAATGTCAAGAATTAAGTAAGGAATAAATATAATATATCAAATATGGTTTAGATGTTAACAAATTTACTGTAAATGGAAATACCAATTTTTCGATAAATCATTTTTATTGCAAAAGTTGAGGATATTAACCCTTCCAGTATCTATATGTATATTCTAAAAGTTCATTAAAGTTTATACAGTATGTCTCCGGATTGTCTTTACAAGAGGAAAAACTTCTTTATTATTGACATTTTGAGAAAAATGCATTTTTAATAAAAATGTTTGCTTGTTCTAAAATAGTTAATCCCGTTTATACTTTTCCAAATTTCTATACCGTTTTAGAGAAAATTAAGAAAAATATGAAAATATGGTCCTAAAATTTAAAAGACGTTTTTATGTTAATATAATTCTGTTTTCCTTCTTTGATAGATTATTATTATTATTAATTTTGATTAAAGTCATACTCTTTGCTGTTGTTAAAGTATCATATTTTTCGATAACTATTATCACCCTTTCCGTAGCATTGAGGTAAATAAATTTTGTGCGTAATTTTTGTACATTTTAAAAGAACAAATATATATATATATATATATATATATATATATATATATATATATATATATATATATATATATATATATATATATATATATAAACGGGATTTGGTTGAAGTATTTAATACTCATTTCCAACTACAGCCTATTGCTGCCTTCCCGTTACCGTACGCCACACATCTCGATTTAGAGCGTCATCAGATTCTAGGTTACGAGCTTCCATTGCTTCCGTAACCGTTCCGTTCCAGGATTTTCTAGGTCTACCTCTCTTTCTTCTGCCCTGGGGAGCCCATTGAAAAACTCTTTTTGGCCACCTGTTCTCCGGCATACGCAGAACATGTCCAAACCATTTTAAGCTGGATTTTTCGATTCGATCCAGTACTGTCTCCTCCGATGCATTCATGATACGCCTGACCTCGATGTTTGTCTTTTTTTTCCATCCTAGATATACCTGCACTTCTTCTAAGGTAGTCCATTTCAACAACTTGGATTTTGCGCTTCGCGTCTGCACTCAGAGTCCACAGCTCTGAACCATAGCAAAGAACTGACTCCACCAATGTTCTTCCAAGTCTCTTTTAGTTGTTGCAGATAAGTTTCGGTCCCACCAGAGGCTGTTAAGACATCCAATAACTTATTTGCTCTTCTGAATTCGGTTTGTATTTCTTCTTTGCCCAAACCCTCGTTGTTGATAGTAGCACCCAGGTATTTAAATTTGTCTACTTGTTGAATCTGGACGTTATCATTAATGAAGACTTCAAAACAAGTGTTGGAATTGACAGCTAAGTATTCGGTCTTCTTTAGACTAACCTGAAGTCCCCATTTGTTGTATACTTGATAAAGCCTCTTAGTCATGAACTCTAGATCGTATGAGTCCTGCGCAATCACGACCTGATCGTCTGCAAAGCTCAGGGTAAATAGTGTGTTGTCCCCAATGGGTATTCCCATACCTTGATATTTCGTCTTCCATTCCCTAAGGGCTAATTCGACGTAAGCGTTGAAGATCAGAGGAGATAAGCTGCATCCTTGTCGCAACCCTTTTGTGGTGTTAATTGGATTAGATAGCCTGTGTCCTATCTTAACGTACGATTCATTTTCTTTATATAGCTATTTTATTATCTTAAGCAAAGGTCTATCTACTTCTAAGATATTCAATACTTCCCATATCTTGCTGCGGGGAATAGAGTCGTACGCTTTCTCCAAATCAATAAATGCTAGATGGACTTCTTGATCTACTGCTATCTTTTTTCCATCACCTGCTGCAGGACAAAAAGGTTATTTGTGCAAGATTTCCCCGGTGTGAATCCGCTTTGGTCTTCCGAGATTTTGTCACCAATACTGTCCCTGAGCCTACCCTGTAACACCTTTCCAAAAAGTCTGTTGACCGAACTGTTAATGCTTAGGCCTCTATAACAAGTGGGGTCGTTACGATTTCCCTTTTTAAAGATGGACACTATGTGAGCCACTCGCCATTCTCGGGGTAGTTTACTTTGCAGGCAGCATTGGTTAAATAGCTCTGCCAGACGCCAGCGTAGTCTTTGGGTTCCACACTTTAACAATTCGGCTACAATATTACCAGGACCTGGTGACCGTCCATTTTTCATTCTTTTGAAACTTTGATGTACTTCTCTTTTGCTTATCATTAAAGTGCCTGCAAGGTTGTTCTCATCTTCTACTGCTCGGAATTCTGGTCGGTTTTCTGTCAGTAATTCTGCATAGTAGTTGCGCCATTTTCTATATCCATTCTATTCAAGAGCTTGTCCGTTTGATTGGTTTTCATTTGTCGGATTGTTCTCCATACCTCAGTACTCCGTGCGCCCCCTATTAGGCTTTCCACTTGCTGGCACCTTCTTTCCCAAATATCTGTTTTTCCTACCTTAATGGCGGCTCGTACCTCTCTATTTTTTTGCTTGTAATGACTCCAGTTAGTATCTATATATATAAAAGAACAAAAAACTATATAACAAAAGTTCTATATATAAAAGAACAAAAAAACATTACGTTAATTAAGATTTTATGAATAACAATCTATCAAAAAATGAAAACGAAGTTATGTTACCATAGATTAGAACTTCAAAAAATTCAACCATATTTTCATGTTTTTCTTAATTTTTTCTTTGGAAAAGTATACACGGGATTAACCATTTTAGAAGCAGCAAAATTTTTTATGAATGCATTTTTCTAAAAATGTCAATAATAAAAAAGTTTTTCCTCTTGTAAAGACAATCCGGAGATATACTGTATACAGGGTGTCCTATTATTCCATGAATATAGGACACTACTACGTATTTTTGGAATGAACATAAGTTCATTGGACACAATTTACCTCTATACAAAAGTGCTTCTTGTGTCCGCTAGAGGGCATAAAACTTTAAAAAAATAAAAGCCTTTTTTCAGATATTTTAAGAACAGTTAGTCCGATTTGAATGAGATTTTGGCTGTTTATGTTTTGCTAAGTGCTTTAACATTTTGCTTTCACAAAAATCAAAAAATAATACAGGAAGAGTAAAAAATTCCGCACCCCTACATAAATTTTAGTATAAATATTTTTCAACTCCGTCAACAACATATTTGCTTTTCGTATAAAATGGTTCCTCTAGTATTTACTACATTTTTTGTTTGTTGTAAAAAACGCGACATAGCATAGTTTTTCAGAAAAAAATTCTCGAGAATTTATTTTTCCAAAGCAGACGTACAAAATATACAGGAAGTTTCAATATTCCGTGGACATACAACACCAACGTAGTTTTTGAATCAAAATAAGTAAATTGCACATAATTTACCTTTATAAAAAGGGCTTCGTCTGTCCGTAAGGTGAAAAAGGACATCAATCAAAAATAAACCCGAAATTTAATTAATCCGAAATTAATCATTTTTTTAAGCTTTTTATGAAGCTTATTGTCAAATATAATTTGTGATGCAAACATAATTTTCCATATTTTCTCAAACTAGATTATTAGAGCATAATAGATTTTGTGCGCCTCCATAACTTGATGCGACAAAAAACACTCTTTCCGTTCTTTTTTTTGATTTTTGTGAAAGTTAAATGTTAAAGCATCTTAGCAAAACATAGACACCCAAAATTTCATTCATAACTGAATAATGGTTCTTAAAATATCTGAAAAAAAAATCTGTTTGATGCCCTCTAACGGACAAACGAAGCACTTTTGTATAGAGGTAAATTGTAGTAATTCTATGTTCACTGGATATTGGGACACCCTGTATATCATTGCTGAAATGTTCGCGATTATACCGGATGCGTCTCAAAAGTGACTCACCCCCTATAACTTTTTTATTTTTTCAGATAAAAAAAACGAGATGTGGATATGACATAAATTAGGATTGATCGACGTATTCAATTTTTTTTGGTCACTTCCTGTTTCACCGGAAATTACTACAACTTTTGATTTTTAAATGGCACCCTCGTTATTTTTTTATTTTATTCGATAGAAAATGACATTCATGAATAGAATGACATATCATATGTCAACTTTTGACATACTCGCTTAATAAAAAATCGTATTTTAAAATCCAGTCTAGAGTGCCACGGCTATGTTAAAAACACTAATTCTTAATCAAGAAACCTTGGAAAAATAGATTTGATCGTCTAATGTTTTTAGTATCTTATCCTAGCCAGTTAGAAAATAATCAAATTGCATTTTTAAGCATATCTCAATTTTTTCAAATAGAACGAGGGTGGCTCATTAGCATAGTTGGAAAAAAGCATTTTTTTACGAATAATTTGATACCACACACTTGGCATTTCGAGTAAAATTTTCATTACGAACCGCAAGTTATAATTTCAGATAAACCATATGCGAAAATGTAAAAAGTTGACATATTATATGTCATTCTATTCAGAATGTCATTTTTTATCGGATAAAGTAAAAAAAAATACCGAGGGTGTCATTTAAAAATCAAAAGTTGTAGTAATTTCTGGTGAAACAGGAAGTGACGGAAAACAATTAATTGAATACGTCAGTCAATCCTAATTTATGTCATATACTAACATACCAAATCTCGTTTTTTTAACCGAAAAAATATAAAGGTTATAGGGGTGAGCCACTTTAGACACGCACCCGGCATATCCATGGTAACTATTTTTAGGACAGGCAATAAATAAATAATAATAAATTCTTAAATAATAGCCTTAATAAATAAATAGCTTAATAATAGATATATCGATAGTTATCGATATATCGATAATTATATCGACATATCGATAACTAAAATATATCTATAGATGAATTGCGATAACTTATCGATATTTTAAATCCATTATCGCCCATTTCTAATAATAACAAAAAAAATCTTACCTCTGTATTTTTTGGGTGAATTTTGAGCACTGCCGCTAGTAGGCGTGGCCGTTCCGGAAGCCGGCGACTTGTTCCTGTTCAGGTTCTTCTTGGACGAGCTGCGCTTTCTGAACAGGTCGCGCGATCTCTCGGGATTCTCGAGCTTCAGCCGGATCTGTGTCAAAATACCGACCAGCAGCTCGTCCACGTTGTGGTTGATGCCCACAGATGTCTCTATGTACTTGCAGTCAAAGGCCGTTGCCATGGATTTCCCTTCTGGTAAAAAAAGATATAAATTAGTTATTTTAAAAGGTTCATCCAGAAACTCGCAATTAGTGGTTTCAATTAGCGTAAAACTTTGTTCCTCTAATGTCAATGTAAGGATTCAGGACGTCAAAATTGGTAGCAGGAATTTTCAATGAGTGGAAAATGTTAACACATTTTTAACTTGTGAAAATTAACACTAGGTATAGAAAGATTAAAAAGGAATAGAGCGTTTCCAGCCACAAAGATCTTCCCAATTGCAATTTCCAAAAATAGTATAATTTTTTTATTAGGAGTAAAAATGACACTCTTTGTGGCGAGGCTGTACGTTTGACCGACTTACAGGCGAGCAACAAAAAGTCATTTTTATTCCGAATAGAACATGCTATTTTTTTCAAACGCCACAAATAATTTCAAAACGCTCATTAATATTGACACTTATGTCAGTATGATAATATATTTTTTTAAATGTCACAGAAGTATTAATTTTTGCAACGTGATTGACAATATAAAAAAGTCATTTTAACGCCTAGGCATAAAAGTAAAGGACTTTTATGCCTAAGCATAAAAGTACGAAAATATATTATTAAACTGACATAAAGTGTTAAATTCAACGAGCCTTAACCATATTTTCTCCATATATAATTACATACAAGATATGACTTTTTAAATGTTATTTGGAACGTTTGAAATTGTTTAAAAACTTATTTATGGCGTTTGAAAAAAAAATAGCTGTTCTATTCGGAGTAAAAATGACTTTTTGTTCCATTGTCATTTATACTCCTAATAAAACAATATACTATTCGTAATTTTATGCTCACGCCTTAAAATTCCTTTTTTATATTGTCAATGACGTCGCAAAAATCAATACTTTTGTTACATTTGAAAAAAAGTTATATTGTTTTATTAGGAGTAAAAATAACACTTTTTGTGGCGAGGCTGTACGTTTGACTTGGTGAGGTCACATTGGATATACAGGCGAGCCACAAAAAGTCATTTTTACTCCGAATAGAACATGCTATTTTTTTTTCAAACGCCACAAATAATTTTTAAGCAATTTCAAACGTTTCTAATAAATAACGTAATTATATATCGAGAAACTATGGTTACGCTCGTTGAATTTGACATTTCATATCAGTTTAATAATATATTTTCGTACTTTTTTGTGCTTAGGCATAAAAGTACTTTACCTTTATGCCTAGACGTTAAATTACTTTTTTATATTGTCAATCACGTCGCAAAAATTAATACTTTTGTGATGTTTGAAAAAAAGATATTTTTTTCAAATTTTAACCTACAACATTTAAAAATCGGTTTTTTAGTCAATATAAAAAAAAATACAACCTTCTTAAGGCCAATTGACAACAAACGCCAGTAAAAAATAAAGAAAAGTACGGGCCAAGTAACGACGTCTAGGGCCTCGCCAAAATTATATTGTCATTTCCCAGCCCTCTTTTACGCCGTTATTTTTGATCGTATATGGTATTTCATTTTTTAGTTGGTATATCTATGAAGTCGTTAACAGACAGAAACACAAGTTAAACAGACGGGATACAGAAGCCATGGTTGGCTTCTTGGACACTTTTATAGATTAATTATTTCGTAATTAGGTCTTTCTTTGTAATAAGTTATTTTTAAAAATCATCAAGTATTTCTTCATAGATTCTTATTTTAATAGTAAAAATCTCTGCTTAGCTTTCCGCATTCCGTATTTTATTGAGCTTCCAAATCTTGTTTTTCCATAAATATATTATTTAAGAAAACCCCTAACATTTCGATAAAGGAACCTCAATTTCCATACAAACCCTCCTCGCGTTCGACATTGCCACAGTCAAATCGACCCTTTTTCATGACGTTAATAATTCAGGCAGTACGACCGCAGAGAACCTTCAAAAAAGGGACCCTCCGAAATCGCCAAGGGCATTAACTTATCGCCGAGTGTCCTTTTCGGCTATGCCCAATCTCCGATTCGGGGGAAATGGCTTTTAACTTTCGCCTAATCCGAGACGCCCTAATAGGGGAAGCCTGGGTCATTAGAAGGGCCGCTTGGGTAGGGGAGAGTCGAGTAAACGGCCGGTTGTTGTCGGCTTGGGATATTGCGGCGCAATCGGGTTGCGTTTGGGGAACCAGTTGTTTTTGTAATAGGGTTTTTGGTTTAATGTTTGATGTAAAATATGCATAGACTAAGATTGAACGGTCTAAAAGTCAAGCATTGAGTTAAAATATAATCTCAATTTAACTTAATATTGTTTATCTTCGTATGTAAATTTCAGAAACACATTTTAGACGACATATAAGTTTACTTTTAGTATACATTCATCACCATCAAGCCAAGTCGTATTTGTTCAGCTAGTGGTGGAAAAGTACCATACTATCGGAAAAAAAGCACCAAAATGGCTTGGAAATGAAGTTCGCTGATATTTTGTATGTAAAATTATATAGGAAAACTCATCGATCGTCATATCCACGCGAACTGGACTCGGTTTTTTTCGCTTCTACAGTATAATTATCTTTAATTATATACTGCTATTTTATCAAATCAACTATAGGAGCAGACAAATATTGATTTAGTAATTTCTTGCAAGCAGACAATTTTGTATTTATTTTATTGTATACAGGGTGGTCCGTACTGTATTCGGGAATCTGAACAATTAATCGGGAAAATGTAGAAGTTTCATGTTAATTTCGATTTTCTCGAAATAATTTCTGAACTGTAGTCGATATTTGGATAAATATTGGGGTCTGGGAGTTTTTTGACATGAGGAATTTGATTTTGATGTTAATATGACCATATACTCATATGCCATGTGTTTTAACTATTCCTAAGAGTAATAACTTTTCGTCCGTACATGTAGAAAACTACTGAGTGAAAAAATATACATTTCTGTCATTTTCTACGTAAAAATGTCTCTTAGTATGTTATGTCTCTTAGTTATTCTTCGTTGATAATTTCGATTCCAAATATTTCGAGAACCATTATTCGCAGCAGCCATTTTTACCAAGAAACCTATTTTCGTGAAAAGAGTCGTAAATGTATATTTATTTTATTATACTCTATTTTTTTTCAGGTAAGATTTTGACAGACGATGACAGAAAAAAGCGGATGACGTCCATACAGTACGTCTGTCCTTTCTCTAGCTACGGGGTATCCGTGAGAGAGGAAACGATATTCTCTCAATGTTTTTCGTAAAAAATTAGACTACGCGTCCCATCAATAAAAATTCGACAAATTTGCAAGTAGCCAATAAAATGAGTGGGTGGAGCGATTTGCGGTGGCGTACTCGTCAAGTCGACGTATAAAATATATTGCTGTGTATTTAAATGTTTTTTGTCCGCATTCTTTTCATAGACACAGATCCAGCAGACGTACTGTACCAATCTATTTATTTCACTAAAAATCGTCCTAATATTTTTTATTGATGGGTTTATATATAAATCCGTCATGCGTCGTCTTTTCTTGTTTTATTGGTTTATTTCAAGAATCAGATCATATCTCAATATGATTGGAGTGACGCGACGGAACGATGAACGAATCACGGACACAGATGCATATGAACGCGCCTTTATATTTTTGAGGCTTGTCAAAGTCTTGCCAAATTATAGGTTATAATTTTGTGTCAAATTATGTCAAATACCCTGCATTTTGGAAGATGATGCATTTTGATTCGTGTTATTACGTGTGTTTTGTGACTTTTAAAGTTAAGTGGAGGAAAAATCGAGGGAAAATTAACTGTAGATCCAGAAGCACAGTTTATAGTTAATATTCGGTGCCCAGGCAGAGAGTTTTATACTTTTATTTAGATGACTTTGGTTTTATACATTAATAAAGTTAAAAGTTTGTATACCATCTCGCCATAGATAAGTGCATTTCGTATATGGATAGTACTAAACATGTACTAAAAACTGGAGTAGCTGTAAAATAACTACATTACACGATAGGTATAAATATGGATTTTAGTACTGCAGAAAGATAATGTTATAATAAATAATAAAATTATATTAAAGTTAATTAATCAACTTTTAAGGTATAAAATTCGGTAAGTGTTAATACAATATTTTGCTTTTTTATTTATGTTGTTTTATTTATTCCTGTGGAATATTCCAAATTTGTATTTGTACATGCATAAGTTATGTTGATAAATATAATAATAAATGCAGGAAGTTTCTTGAAACTTAAAAGTAAGAAATAGTTCTTTTTTATATTTTTTTGGTATGTGGTGTTTTGTTCTTGTTTGTTTTATTACAGTTGAGGGTTGGAACCTTTGGTGTTAAACAGCAAAATAAAAACACTAAATCACCACAATACACCAAAACACTTTTACTTTTACACTGGACGCGCGTTTCGCTAACCATGTTAGCATCATCAGCAGATGATTATAAACTGGTTTAAAACACTAAATCATCACAATACACCAAAACACTTTTACTTTTACACTGGACGCGCGTTTCGCTAACCATGTTAGCATCATCAGCAGATGATTATAAACCAGTTTATAATCATCATTATAAACCAGTTTATAATCATCTGCTGATGATGCTAACATGGTTAGCGAAACGCGCGTCCAGTGTAAAAGTAAAAGTGTTTTGGTGTATTGTGGTGATTTAGTGTTTTTATTTTTCTTGTTTGTTTTGTACTAACACATACCGTTTTTTTTTAAATAATATAACGATGAGATTTTTGCAGTTTTATAGTTTTTTTCACAATATTTTGAAGTAATCACTTGTCAGTCAAATTAAAAATATATTTATTTCCTGCTATGCGTTCCAATTATGCCAACTTATTTCTTTGTAAAATAAAATAAACTACTTTGAAATTAAAATGACAGACACATCTATCACTGTCAAGGATTTTGTCTTTGGATAGACTATAGTAGCTTGATACACACATACGAAAAGTTATTTCTCTTCAAACCAGTTAGCAAACTATGTAGGTGGCGCCTCCTACAAGTAGGAGTCACAAATTTTTCATGTGTCAAAAAACATCTAGCCACCAATTTTCATCTAAATATCGA